ATCCAGAAACAACCATTTCCAATCAACAGCTTCCTGAGAGTAATATATTAAAAGGGAAATGAAAGAATAATTTATCTTATCCTGGTTGTACACTCTAAGAAAATAATATGAAACAATTTTGTTGTTTGGAAACAAAAGTGGATCATTGTTTTCTCAGGGAGCTTTTATGTGCAAAATATATTTGATAATAATGTGAATTCTTTTAAGCTATTATATTCTGTGACCATCTAGGGAAATCGTTTTGGGAATAAATACAGCTGAAATATTTAAAGAAAGGACATTAAAAGGAAAAATAGCAGACATAGTTGATTCTTTTGACATTCTTTTATAGTATAAAAATCATGAAATCCTTGGTCCATATAACAGAGATAATGCTGAAAAAATTCTAATCACTTTATCATTATTCCCAGCAGTGTCCCAGAGCTCCAATTCTAAGGGCAGGGCTTTCTTTAAGCATCTAACATGATGATAGAACTCAGAGAATTTTTGGAGAAATAGTTTCTTCACATGAAGTATACTTGATAATAACATTTTAATGTAATATTGACATTTCTGGTTTTTAACTCTGTTGGGCAGAATCTTGATGGAAAAGAAAATCACTTGTGATAGTTTCAGCATGAGTGTCTAATATCATGACAATTTAACCCGGTTTTATCTTATATCAGAGGTATTCCATCAGAAAAGAACTGAAGTGCTCTTCATGTTTATACAAGCAAGTAATTTCTTATAACAAATGGTGCTAAAATCACCCAAATTATTAACTATTATTGAAAGAATATTGTGGGAAATATTGGTGGTTTATTTTCAGAGGTTTTTGGTAGATAATTAACATATAAATCATTAAAATAAAAATATAGAACACATGAAAATATATAAATATATATTATATAATATATCGAAAAACATATATATAATTTTGGTCAGAATATTGATTTGTCCACTTGAACTGAATTGGTCTGCTTTGGCCAAACAATTGAGAAGTTGAACCAAATCATGACATTTGTGATCCATGTGACATTTACATGACCAGAGGACTGTCTACACTCTTGCTTCTCAGAGTACATTCTACAGGCCAGCAGCATCAGAATTGCCTTGGATCTAGGTAGAAATGCAGAATCTCAGCCCTTCGGCTCCAGATCTACTGAATTAGCATCTGCATTTTATTTTATTTTATTTTATTTTTTTAAGGTTTTTTTTTTTTTAATTTATTTATATGACAGAGAGAGAGATAGAGAGAGAGACAGTGAGAGAGGGAACACAAGCATCAGGAGAGGGAGAGGGAGAAGCAGGCTTCCCGCTGAGCAGGGAGCCCGATGTGGGGCTTGATCCCAGGACCCTTGGATCACGACCTGAGCCGAAGGCAGACGCTCAACCATCTGAGCCACCCAGGCGCCCCAGCATCTGCATTTTAACAAGGTCCTAGGTGCTTAAAGCATTAACTACATCAGGGGATCTCAACTCTGGCTACACATTAGGATCACTTAGGGTGCTTTTAAAATGTTTTATTCCCAGGTCTTACTCCAGACCAATTAAATGAACCTCTTTAAGGGTAGAAGAAATACTCAGGGCTCACCAAGTGATTCTAGCATGGTGCCAGGGACAAGAACTATTAGTTGCACAATACACAATCACTACATTCAATGTATTCTGAAAAGGCATAAAAGAAAAAAGAAGTCAAACCAATTACTTTGTATTTGGTACCACTCTAGAAATGATTGATTTTTTTTAACTGTTAGTAAGTTTGCTTAGCTCCTGTGTGAACACAGCCTATTATGTCTCAACCTGCCTAGAAGTGTATTGTATTGTAAATCAAGAAGAGGAACACTTTGCCAAATTAATTAAAAGGAGTTTTAGGTTTGTTTTTCAACTTTACTTCCTTTTTTCAACCTTACTCTCCAGCCTGACAGATCTGAATGCTGAATCTCAGACACTGTGCACATTCAAACCAGTGCACCTTTGGATTACCTACCCTCTTCCGCATGCTCTTAACTGCTCAGTGTTTACCCTCTAACATTCCCTTATTCTTCTAGCCCCAAATGGATTTTTTTCCTCTGAATTCCCATGTTCTGTATTATTTCTGTCTTGCACTCTCACTTTATAGTCCTACATTGTTAGCTCCACTATTTAGGGGAATAAAATTGCCTGCTGTTTATAGTCTACATGTAATCTCAGTCATTAGCAATCTATTTCAAAATCGTATGCATGACTAGGGAAGGCAAAAAGAAATCATAGCATAGTACATATGACAATCACTATTATCCCATTTTATAGATGAGCAAATGTCATTTCAGAGACCAAGGTGACAGGCCAGTAAGTTTCAACACTAAGATATTTTCCCCAAGATTATTTAACTCAAAGTCCAGGGACAGTCTGGTTGTGTGCGTGCGTGTGTGTGTGTGTGTGTGTGTGTGTGTGTGTTTAATAACTTATAGTACTTTAGTTATAACTTTGGGGCAGATTTAGAATATCAACACATCAAAACATATGGAAGGAAGACTCGCTCTCAGAATTGATGTCCATTCTTATCTTTGGAATAAACTCAATGTTTATTCTTTTTTACATTAATTTGTTTTTTTCTGTCAGAAAATTAATGAAGTTTGATGAGGAGGGCAAAGGTAGGTGGTCATGTTACACTTCTTTAAAATTACTTTTTAATGCTAAATGAAATAAGCCAGAGAGAGAAAGACAAATGTCTTATGACTGCACTTACATGTGCAATCTAAAAGACAAAACAAATGAACAAACAAACAAAAAGCAAAAACAGACCCATAAATACGAGAGAACAAATTGAGAGTTGCCAGAGGAGTAGAGAATGGGGAGATGGACAAAATGGGTAGAGTGGAGTGGGAGATACAGGCTTCTAGCTTTGGAATGAATAAGACACAAGAATAAGAGGTACAGAATAGGGAATATAGTCAAGAGTGTTAGAAGAGCATTGAATGGTGATAGGTGGTAACTACACTTGTGGGGATTATGGCACAACATATATGTCGTATAACTGAAACTAGTGTAACATTGTGTGTCAACTATAATTAAATTAAAAAGAATTTTAAAATTCCATTTTATTATACCAGTAATAACAGAATAACTTTCTCTTATACAAAATTAGAACATTGGAGATGTGGATAAAATCTCTTTATCTAACACCCTCCCACACATACATCCTGCACTCCACTCAATCTAGATGACTTTCTTCGAACCTCAAAAGTAATCATTTTTATTTGTTCACACACTTTAGGATATTTTTATGTACTTAATACATATGTATGGTATATTATAATAACTTTAATAGAAATTTTTATGCTTTTATCACATAAAACATATGACTCTTGAGAATTAAGGATTTTATTTGTAGATCTAAAGTTAAAAACCTGGAAAGGGTAGCTAATTCAGTGGTTAACAGAATTAAAATTCAAAATTTTATCTCAACCCCTGTGGAATAATATCCTAAAGCTAGAAAGATAAAAATTTAGCTAGTGTGAATGTAAAATACCTGTATAAAGTACAAATAACAAATGGAGAATTCTGAATCATTGTTAGTTTATATGAAAAAGACTTATAGATTTGTTTATCATGGACTCAGAATTTAATAAAAATTCTGATACTTTGGAAAGTTAGTAGTTCTTATCTCTAAAATAAGATTCCTTTTAAAATATCAGAAGTTATTGCAGAATAGCTAAATTTAGAAGGAAAATACTACATTGTACAAAATGTGGATTTTTTTTTTCTTTCTCTCTCTCACACACTGACACACAGCAAAGCCAAATGAAAGAAAACTCTTTTGTTTCCCTCAAGTCAAGGTCTATAGTTTTTACCACAGTACAAAACATTCATTACAGATCAGACGGTTTTAGTATGAAAAAGTCCTATGATGAGGTATTGCAATAGTATTCCTTGCCAAAGTTGATGTTTTCCCAAGTAAGAATCATTCCCTGTGGAATTAATCTCACTTGTAAAGCTAATTGTACATAATTATAACATATTTTAGTGACAAATATTCATACCCAACTTTCTGACATCATGGGATATTTTCATGGGACGTCAGGGATATTTTCTTCCCAAGACACATGCTTTCCTATGTTAAATCTCCACCTCTGCCTGATTTTTACTTTGACACTTGCCAAAAGACATAGATTCCAAGTTAAAAAAAAAAAAATAAAAGTTAGAAACCTTTTTTTCCTGGAAAGTTTTCCCCACATTTGTGGATATCTTCTCTTCATAATTTTAGATACATAAGTACTGATTTACATAGGGTATAAGGAAAGAGATTCTGAGAGGTGAATTTATTTTCCTTTCCTAAAGAAAGGTGAAAATTACATGATTTTTATCATGACCTTGACTGATCATTAGACATAGGTGACTATGAGTCTTGATCACTTTTCATTTTTTTCTAAAATTAAACTTCACATAAACATGCTAAGTATTTCAGAAAAATGGAATGCTGAGTGAAAAGAAAGAAGGTTGAATCAATGGAGCAAATGTATTGATGTATTTTTAAGAACTCCAAACCATGATTTTATTTGAATTTATCTATCTTTGCCTTGATGTCCACCATAGCACATGAGAAGGATATTCAAGGTCTTAACTCTATTATTGGCTTTATTCAGCAGCATCAGACCAATAATAGGTGTTTATCTACCAGTATGTGCTGCTCCAGATAGAATAGCTCATTGAAATTCTCCCCTCCGGTTTTCCTTCCCCAAGGAAATATCTATATCTCAGATCTGTCTAATTAACTAGTATGTGAAGAATAGAAAACTGTGAGACAATCCCTATGCTCATCGTTGCTGGGCTTTAAAAAGCTCAATAAAGTTTCTATCTACATTCTCTTGTTTACACTGTGGAGCAAAATGGATCAAACAAGCAAAGATTTGTGGCAACAGAGACAGTGCCTTTGTGCAATATAACACATACTGTGTATCAAAGAAATATTGTGCCACTTCTCTGAAGCTGACATTGGAATGACATTGTAATCCTGGCCATCTGTCTTTCTCCTCTAGATGTCGATGAATGTGTGGTGGTGAATGGAGGCTGCCAGCAGTGCTCTATTAACACTCTGAGCACCTTCCACTGTGAATGTGATACAGGATACGGACTCCATGCTGATGAACGCACCTGCATAAGTGAGTAAATATTAGAACCAGCTTGAAGCCGTTTTCAATGAAAATCGACTTGCCCATGTAGGGGCAGGAAGGAAAGGTTTTCCTATTGTAAAAATATCTATAGAAGCTGATGGTTTTCAAGTACAAATCTGTCTTTTAGAATAAAAAAAATATTTTGCTCTTAAAAGACTAAAAGACAAAAAAGATGTGGAAAGAAATATAGAAATTAACATTCATAAGCAAAACTTGAATCCCTAAATGTGACTATTTCCATAGAATATAATTTCTGCCATATGCAGTGAAATATAAATTTGCTAGTTATTGCTAACAATAAAGCAGCACAGGGCCACAATGAAAAGAGGATGCTGAACTATTACAATCACTAGCTACAAGGTTCACTCATTTCGGATCGGACTCAGAACTGGGCTCATGATTGTAACAGCAAAAATTATAATAGATTATAGGTCAAGGACTTTAGGGTCTCTCAAGAATAGTTAAAACTACACACATTAAATATGAGGTTACTATAATTTGTTGTACATCAAAGTGTTCTTAGATATCAGTTTTGGGTGCTTGGGTTCTTATTTTCAATCCTCTTTGTGCATTACTGAATTTTATAAATTTTCTAAAATAAGTATGTGCACAGAAAAAATAGAATATTAACTCTTAAAATACTGTCCTCCCTGTATGATTTATATATGCTCTTTTTTAGTTGTTTTTACTAATTTCCATAAAAGTGGGTTTTGTGGGTTTTTTTTAAGATTTTATTTATTTATTTGGTGCAGAGAGAGAGACTGAGAGAGAGACAGAGAGAGAGAGACAGAGATCACAAGTAGAGAGACAGACAGAAAGAGAGGGGGAAGCAGGCTCCCCACTGAGCAGAGAGCCCGATGTGGGGCTCCATCCCAGGACCCCGAGATCATGACCTGAGCCGAAGGCAGAAGCTTAACCCACTGAGCCACTAAGGTGCCCCAAAAGTGTTTTTTTTAATTGAACAATGATCCCCAGATGGAATCATGCACATTCTAATTTCATCTCAAGGTCTCTTTTAAAAAGATTTGTTATATTAAAAAAAGTAGCATCTTGTTCAGCACAATTTAATTGCTGGTTTAACTTACATCAGGCTTGTTCACTAGTCCATTTGCTAAAAAATATTAGTATTTTATAGTATTAGTATTTTATATTTTGTAATTATGAAACTTGGAATAGGTATCTGTGAATTTCAGCTAGTTTCATAACATGTACTCCCTCTTTCCTTTTCTGGACATGTCTTATAGGAAATGAGAAAAGACCAAAGGAAACAGGTGCAGATGTTCTACTCATAGGACTGATTCTGATGTGAGAAAATGGGGTCCTGAGAGCAAAAAAAAATGACTTTGCCAAAGTTAAGTGAAAATGCAGATAGAAGTCATACCCTAGCAACCAGGGAACTCAATATCGTGGTTATTTCTACAGCAGGCACAAGTGGTGGGACAGCAGCACATGCATATTTATGTCATCCAAATAACCCCTTCTTTTTGCAGGATTACTGGTTTTAGCAACAGGAATCCCTTTCCCATCCATATCCAGGACCCCCTAAGGTCTTCAGGATAACATCCTTAAACTGCTGCTCTAAGTTCTCTCAGTCACAAAATGTTTAGGAGGAGTGGGTTTATTGATACATACAGATGAGGTATTTTTCATTAATGACTGAACTAGTGAATTTTTATATCTGATAAAAAGTATTTTGCAAAGGCATGATTTTTTTTAAAAATTTTTATTTATTTTTTAAATTTCTTTTCAGTGTTCCAGAGTTCATTGTGTATGCACCACACCCAGTGCTCCATGCAATACGTGCCCTCCACAATACCCACCACCAGGCTCACCCTACCTCCCACTCCTCTCCCCTCCAAAACCCTCAGTTAGTTCCTCAGAGTCTATAGTCTCTCATGGTTCATCTCCCCCTCCAATTTATCCTCACTCACATCTCCTCTCCATCTCCCCGTGTCCTCCGTGTTATTTCTTATGCTCCACAAGTAAGTGAAACCATATGACAATTGACTCTCTGCTTCACTTATTTCACTTAGCATAATCTCTTCCAGTCCTGTCCATGTTGATACAAAAGTTGGGTATTCATTCTTCCTGATGGAGGCACAATACTCCATAGTATATATGTACCACATCTTCTTTATCCATTCGTCCATTGAAGTGCATCTTGGTTCTTTCCACAGTTTGGTGACTGTGGCCATTGCTGCTATGAACATTGGGATACAGATGGCCCTTCTTTTCACTACATCTGTGTCTTTGGGGTAAATACCCAGTAGTGCAATTGCAGGGTCATAGGGAAGCTCTATTTTTAATTTCTTAAGGAATCTCCACACTGTTTTCCAAAGTGGCTGCACCAACTTGCATTCCCACCAACAGTGTAAGAGGGTTCCCCTTTCTCCACATCCTCTCCAACACATGTTGTTTACTGTCTTGTTAATTTTGGCCATTCAAACTGGTTTAAGGTGGTATCTCAATGTGGTTTTGATTTGAATCTCCCTGATGGCTAGTGATGATGAACATTTTTTCATGTGTCTGTTAGTCATTTATATGTCTTCATTGGAGAAGTGTCTGTTCATGTCTTCTGCCCATTTTTTGATGTGAGTATCTGTTTTGTGTGTGTTGAGTTTGAGAAGTTCTTTAGAGCAAAGACATGATTTATATTAATCTATGATATCTGGTCTTTATGAAAAGGCCAAATAAACAGTTTAATAACTAAGTAAATTAAATACACAGGTGTAATTTTCCAAATATTTAATAGCTATTTCTTAGTAAAATCATTAAGTGTTTTCCTTATTCTTCACAACCAGTGCCCTTGAAATTTTTAATTTTTTGTTGTAATGACTTCAGATCAAAAGCGGAGTTAGATAAGGATGTTGTGTTTTATTTTTCCTATTTCTATGCTTTAAAAGCCAATTCCTACTGTGCAGATACATGGACACCATGGTAATAGCTTATTTACATTTTCTTATGCTTATCTTCTCCTGCAGAATTTCAGCATATATACATATGTATATGTATATATGTATATGTGTGTGTATATATATATACATATATAATATGACACAAATTAAGCTGATAAGAAATATGGATTTCATGGCTATAATCTTTTAAAAGTATTAACCCTTTGGATGTTACTCTACAGAAGGTACTGGACTGAGACCAGAACTTGATCTTGGTGGAAATCCTGATGCCTCCCTCACATACACTGAAGGGTCTGAACAATCTCAGTTGACACAATTACAGGATTCTTGTTAAAATGAGTGCAAGGAGAATTTAAGCACTTTGTGTTTGAAGACTAATAGTATGAGCTTAAGGATAAGAACTATTTGCTTATTTGTTTTGAAAAAAAAAAAAAGGTTTACTGTAAAGAACTGAGTTTGATATTGGTTTGTATTTTGGGTTATATTGTAGGAAAGATTAGATATTTTTAAAAAACAAGAAAATTAAATTAGTTCTCTTTCCCTTTGGGATTTTTTTTTTTTACCTGACAGGGGACAGAAAATGGTGGTTGGTGCTTGCTGCAAAATTGTAGTAGACAGAAATTCATCATGACTCATGGTAGAGTCATAGGACAAAAGATGGCATTATGGAATTTTATGATTCCACTACTTTTGAGTACTTAAAATTAATTGCCTCCATTTCTTCCTTTCTCCCTCTCTTCTTTTCCTTCCTTTGCCCCATTCTGCCCATCAGTCATAGTGTGACTTTTTGAATTATAGCTTCTGGTGCTCTTTGCATTTTCTCTTAATCACAGCTACAGTAAACTCCCTGCACCCCTAAATATTTACAGAGTTTCAGATGATTTCATTTTTTTAAGGGCCCCTTCTGTAGGAATTATGCACTTGTGGAGATATATGGCCAGTAGTAACCAGTCAGGCTCTGCCAGAATGATAAAGTCACATGAAATGCTCTGAGAGAACGGGTCTGTCATAGTTGGCTGCCATGGCAAGAAGTATGAGTGTATGGGCCACTTGGCTTCTTTTAAAGGGTTCTTGTACTGCTGATAAAATGTGATCCCAGCAAAACTGGGGAACTTAGCCCCAGTGGACTTCAGTTTGAGCTTCTGAATTTGTCTCTAAATTCTTGGAATGCATGTATTTTTCTGGGGGCTAGGGCTTATTATTTTCATCAGATTCCTATAGGTGTCTGTGACAGCTCAAAATATTCCACATGACTTTTTGTCCTTATGAGGGCAGTTCTTTATAAGATGTATACGTGGGAGGATATCATAACACTGACATGCCATGGTACTATCTCACAGTACTGTCATACAGTCATACAGTCTAAAGCAAAGCCGACTGTTTCTCTATAGCTTCCTTTATGATAGGATATCAAGCCGGAGACCAGGATCCCTGTCCTTGAGTAGCATACTTGCTGACCAACTGTGACCTCTCCTGAGAGACAGCATCAGAAAAGCCAGTCCCATATGGAAAGAGGACCACAGGTGAGACCAGCAATGCCTGGTTGGTAGAAGGGCACAGACACAGCATTGGAAAGCAGACAAAAATGGAATTCTTGACAGATTTGATTTGCTATTTAGTCTCCATTAACACAGGTATTATCAAGCAACACACATACTTTAAAATTTTTCTTTGCTTGGAAAACAAGCACTTAAAAAATGGAAACTTTTAGCAATCATCTTTTGTAGCAATCATCAGATAGATGTGTTGATGTTCTTACCACTCCACCATTAACTCTGTCCATGGATTAGGGACAGGAGCACAGTGGAAATCCAAATTGGCATGTGGACTTCTATGGATCATGTAATTTCTCTGCACCCTGGTTTCCTTATGTGTAAAATCTGAAAATTGGACAAAGTGGCCTTAAAGTTACCGCATCTCTAAAGTGTTTAAATTTTATGGAGTTTTTAAAATTACTAATTCATAACAAATCATTGGCTAACCTATATTTTTTAAAACTCTACTGAACTATGTATAATAACTGCTCTATAGAGCTCTAATTTTACTTGAAACGTGTTTAAAGAACTTAGACTT